CCCCCCCCCCCCATTAGTAAGTAGTAATATAACTTAAAAATAAAAGAAAGGCTAGGCCCATTAACACTTAATAGCAGTACAGCCTAACAGAATAGAGAAGATATAACATGAATGGGCTGAAGCCCAGACTGTTAAATCCCACAACACTCCCCCTCAAGCTAAGCATAGATGTCCATCATGCCCAGCTTGCATACCAACCAAATCTGGTTTTGGCAAGACCCTTAGTGAAGACATCAAAAACTTGTTTCGTAGATGGCATATAAGGAATACATAGCTCCCCAAACACTATCCTTCCTCTCGCAAAGTGTCTATCAATCTCAATGTGTTTGGTCCTATCATGCTGGATAGGGTTATTAGCAATGTTTATTGCAGCTTGGTTATCACAATAGAGCTTCAAAGGGCCAAAAATAGTAATTCCCAATTCCTTTAGGAGTATCCTGAAACATAGTTTGTTTCTTGCTTCTCTAGGATACAAGATTTCCACCCACAAATGTGCAATATCCAATTGTAGACCTCCTATCCCCAGTTGATCCAGCCCAATCAGCACCAGTATAGGCTTCTACATTAAGTTTATCATGCTTCTTAAATAACAAACCTTTTCCTGGACATGTCTTCAAATACCTCAATATTTTTTCCATTGCCTTCATGTGTGAAACCCGAGGAGCATGCATAAAAGGAATAAAAACATGGACAGAATAAGCAATATCAGGTCTACTAATAGATAGATAGAGAATTTTACCCACAAGTTGTTGGTGTCTTTCCTTGTCTGGGTAAAGATCCTCATCCTTTTCCTGTAATCCATGGTTTTGCTCTATAGGGGTCTCAATAGGCCTACTCCCTAATTTTGTTGTGTCCTTTAGAAGGTCCAAGGAATACTTCCTTTGACAATTATAAATTCCTTCCCTAGACTTGGCCACCTCTACTCCTAGGAAGTAGTACCTTAAAGGTCCCAAGTCTTTTATCTCAAACTCTGAGGCCAAAAACTTCTTAAGCCTTTTGATCTCCTCTAAATCATTTCCTGTCACTACCATGTCATCCTCATATACAATCAATGTTGATCATTTCTCTTCACTTTTTCTTTAGAATAGTATGTGATCAACACTGCTTCAATGGTACCCCATAGTCTTCATTGGCTTGCACAATCATTCAAACCAGGCTCTAGGCGATTGCTTAAGTCCATATAGGGACCTCTTCAACCTACATACTTTCCCATTCATGTTATAACCCGGTGGAGAATCCATATAAACTTCCTCTTGAAGGTCTCTATTCAAAAATGCATTCTTGACATCCAACTGGTGCAATTCCCAACAATAATTTACTACTGGAGAAAGTAACACCTGTATGGTGTTCAACTTAGCAACTAGAGCAAAGGTCTTTATAGTCTATGCCCTCCTCTTGTGTGAATCTTTTTGCCACCAACATTGCTTTATATCTCTCTACTTATCCATCAGCCTTGTGTTTCATAGTGTACACCCATTTACATTCAATTGTGCTCTTTCCAACTAGTAGATCCACCACTTACTAAGTGCCAGCCTTTAGTAATGCTCTCATTTCTTCATTCAGTGCTTCCCTCCATTTAGGATTAGCAACTACCTCAGAGTACCTAGAAGGGGTGGAGATAGAATACAAGGCAGAAACAAAGGAATAATATGTCAAAGACAAATGAGAGTAAGAAACAAACTTATTTATAGGGTAAAGAGTACAAGACCGAGTAGGTTTCCGCAAAGCAATAGGAAGATTCAAATTAGAGTCAAAAGAAATAGGGATAGTACCTTGGTTGGCTTCAAAGGCATCTAACTAGTTGTAGTCATCAACTAATGGGCCTCTCTTCCTTTTCCTCAAACACACACCCATCTCCCTCTCAATAGTCTTGTCAACTTGTGTAGTAGGAGATACCTCATCATCTTGTGAAGTAGGAATAGTCTCATCATCTTGTGTAGTAGTAACAGAAATGGTAGAGCAAGGACCATCAGAACACTGTGGAACAGGAGGAGAGGATGGAAGAGGAGAAGAGGGAATAGGAGCAGAGACAAACGGATTAACATGATCGGAATTCTCTTCCACCCCACAAATCTCCCCTTGAAGAGGATTTCGGGAAGGTTCAAAAAATGTTTGTGACTCATAAAAGGTAACATCTTTGGCAACAAATTTCCTTCCTGTATATGGGTCAAAGCCTTGTATCCCTTTTGTGTGATGAATAACCCAAAAAGGTCCCCCGAATATCCCTCGGGTCCAACTTGGTTCTTTTTGGATCCTTAACATGAATGAAACAAACATAACCAAAACTTCTTGGGAACCTTGTGCTGGAGTAATAAAGCATGAGTTGTCTCCATAAGATGTCTTTTTCCTCTCTGCAACCCCATTCTATTGTGGGGTATAACTACAAGAGGATTGGTATAAAGTCCCTTTATCTTCAAAGAAGAAGTTCAAGGTATTCTTAAAATATTCAACTGCATTCTCCAACCTGAATTGTTTAACTTTCTTTCCAAACTAGGTTTCAACCATCTTTCAAAATATCAAGTTGTTCTAGGAACTTCCTCATGTTCTTGTTGGACAGTTTTGTATGCCCTTAACTTCAATCAGAATGATGTACTTTATGAGTTTGTTGTAAATGAATAAAAGTGCATATTTGATTCATGTTCCCTTGGTATGTTTCTGTGTAATACCCTTAAACTGGACACTTAATAAGACTCGTGTTAGT